GCCCACTATGGACTCGGCCGCTGTTACCCGGAGCTCTTTTGGTGCAGGCGGCGGCGAGGAAGCAACGCAGGGCCGGGGGCGGGGCAAGGGTCCTGGGGCCAGGCCTGAGGGCGAGGGCGGAGGTCGCAGAGCCCCGACTACCCCTAGGTGGCTCCCCCCTGGGCCTGCGCGGGGCGCGCGCCGGGTGGTTCCGGGAGGGGACCCCTGGCCCTGTCGCCCACCCCGCGCCTCCCTCGGCCCCCGGGCTTCTCGGGGCCGCATTGCCCGCTCCCGCGCCCATGGCCGACAAGAAACTAGTGGTGGTGTTTGGAGCCACAGGTAAGTGGAGCCCCAGCCAGGCGGAGGCCGGGAAGCGCCGGACCTCTCACCGCGCCGGGGCGAGCCCAGCGCAGGGGGTCTGGAGGGAGGGTGAAATAGGTCAGACCCCTGACCCCTGGTGGGGCGGTGGCGTGGGGACAGGACCTGAGCGCAGATGGCCCTGGAATCTTTAAAAAATTACTTTAACCTCTCTGAATAAGTAGTGATTGCCCGTCATACCGAAATTAAATCTCCCTCCCACCTCTGTACCCTCTACCCCATTCACCACTGTTACCAAGTTTCTTGAGTATCCTACCGAATTAGAAATATCTAAATAGATATTATTTTTAAAAGATAGTGTTTTATTTTGCCCCCACCTGTCTGTCTCTCTCTATGTGTATATTTAAAAATATATAACAGCTTTATTGAGGTATAATTCACATATTGAGGTGTAATTCACATACCATTTACTCATTTAAAGTGTGTAATTCACTGGTTTCTAGTATATTTGCAGAGTTCTCTGACCATCAACACATTAGTTTTAGAAGATCTCATCACTCCAAGAAGAAACCCCATACTTAATGTGAATGAAAAAGGGGCCACACACTGAACCTCAGAAGCTCAGGAGAGGCCTTCCTGAGGGTCTTACAAACTCGAAGCCCAAAAATAACCACACAGAATGGTTAATCTACAAATTCCTAACTAAAATGGGTTTGTGGCAGGCAGTCACTTCCTAGGACTGTAGCTTTCTTGACATATTTACCTTAAGTGAGCTTATTATCTTTTTGTATTAAGGCAACACACTTTTGAAATGTCAGAGTAATCTTCTTTTCCACATCCCCCAAAGCACAACTGCTGGCACAAGAGCAGGAGACCACAGAACTCCTGTTACTTTGTTGCCTACATACCATCTCTACATACTGTAAATGTTAACTACCCTGTACTCACCAATGTGAAAAGAGTATATGTCTCTCTGTTTTGCTTTTTATACAATTCCAGAGGTTGCCCCTGCTTTGCTTTCTCTCACCCCCTGAATCTACCACCAATGGATTTCATTACATCTCCCTTGATTTCTATTTTTATCTTTACCCGAGGATATGTTTATTGATTTTAGAGAGGGAGGGAGGGAGAGAGAGAGAGAGAGAGAGAGAGAGAGAGGTGCCGCGTCCTCTCCCAACCTTGTCGTCTGACAAAATCCGGACGTGGAGAGGAAGCTTCAAGGAAGGCGTCTTCTGAGGAGAGGGCGTGGCATGTGGGTGGGAGTAATTGGCTTAATGGGAATATCTCTTCTCCTTGGAGGGGGATTTGGGGCCATAAATCAATAACTAACCTGGGAATGGTAAACAATGTTCTCACTTCTGAAGAAATCCTGATTTCCCCAAGTCCAGTCACTATCACATGTGCCCGGATGCTTTAACAAATTGTTATTAGAAGAAGCTAGGAAAATTCCCCCTGGCGCCCCCAATAAGGAATTTATGGAAGAACTAGAGAAAGCTGAGCTCACGCACCCGCCTATGGTTGCAAGATTAGTCGAGGACAGGAAAAAGGCCATCGCCCCTCACCTACTGCACAAGGACCACCCTGGGTAGCATATAGAATAAATGGCAGATTGTGGCATCCCCCTAAAAGGAGCTAACAGTATGAAAAGGCCACCAGACCCTCCTCTGCCTTACATAGGTGCTNACACCATGGAAAGGCTACCAGACCCTCCTTTGCCTTATACAGGTGCTTACAATGAGAACAGTATCAAAATAGTTAATGTAAATGGAAGGCATGTTCAGTATGAGAACTTGCCCTTCATGAAACGCTTGGCAAGGCAGCGGCCACACCGGTGCTCGCTCCCAAAGAAACAAAAGCAAAGCATTCTTAAGCAGTTAATCAATAGCTATGGCAAAAGGCACTCTTTTCTTAGAAGAAGGTGGCAAGAATATAATAGCTTAAGAATAGGTCCATAGTTAAAATATAACCATAAGAAGTAGTAACCACAGGCAAATATTATATAAAATTTCTGTCTCACAAACTAATATATTACTGCTGCAAACAAAGCCACATCTATCACTCTATAAGTCACTGATTTTTCCTTTCTCCTCTGTTCTAAAAAGTAAGTCAAAATTGTTCCGTTCTGATGAAATCGAAACTTGTATTGTTTAACCTGTGAATAATATTTCTTGCTTGCTAACCGAAAAAATGTAATCGTAGCCAAAAAAGAAAGTATAAAAGATTATGTTGATTCTCAATAAAGTGGAACAGTGTCACACCACCTCCGAGTCGTGTAGTCTGCTGTCTCCCAGCGCCGACGCCTTGCCCACCTTCGGCACCCCTGACTCCCGCTGCGGCTGGACCGCGGCAGAGAGGGAAACATTGATCAGTTGCCTCCTGTATGAGCCCTGACCAGGAATCCAACCCGCAAGCTTTTGGTGTACTGGACAATGCTCCAACCAACTGAGCCACTGGCCAGGGCTCCTCCTTTGATTTTAATGTATAAAATAAGCTGTGGGCCCTGACAGGGTAGCTCAGTTGGTTAGAGTGTTGTCTGGATACACTGAGGTTGTGGGTTCGATACCCTGTCAGGGCACATACATGAATCAACCAGTGAATGCATAAATAAGTGGAACAACAAATTGATGTCTCTCTTTCTTCCTCCCTCACTCCCTCCCTCCTACTCTCTCTCTTTCTAAAACCAATACTTTTTTTTTTAAAGCTGCAAATTCTCCAAAGCATTTTCTCAGTCTGTGGAGATTTTGCTTCCTAGTGATATGTTGTCAGTTTGGTTCAAATAAACTTATAGAAATTCTCTACGGGTTTGGACATTTCTTACATGAACACCTACTAGCAGTCATTCCCCATTTCCCCCAATTTTCCTCAGCTCCTGGCAGCCACAAATCTTTTGGTATATAGATTTCATTCTGAACACTTGATTTGTTTCCACCTTTTGGCTATTGTCAGTAATGCTGCTATTAACATTCGTATACAACTTTTTGTGTGGACGTATATTTTCAGTTTTCTTGGGTATATGCCTCTGAGTAGAATTGCTGGATCATATGGTAAATCTGTGTTTAGCGTTTTAAGGAACTGCTAGGCTGTTTTACACAGCGACCATACCATTTTACATTGCCATCTGAACTGTATGAGGGTAGCTGCAGTTCTGCAATTTGCCTTTTCCACTCCAGGACACATCATGGGCACCTACCCAAGTCATACTTACAGATCTGCCACATTCTATTTAATTACTTTGTATGGATTTATCATTTATTTAACCAGATTGCTACCAAAGGACATTATGTTGTCTATAAATTTCCACCATTGCAAGTAGTGCTGCAGCCAATGTTCTTGTACATACAGGGGTGGGCAAAAGTAGTTGTAGAGTATTTCCTATGGAAAATCACATGCAGGTTATGATTATTACAAGTTTTATTAACTCAAAAGAATGTCACTGTGACACAGTAAACCTGTTTTTATGGAAAATAACAGTAATTATTAAATAATGATACAAGAATAAACTATGTTTCACATACAACTGTAAACCTACTTTTCCTCCTGTATTTGTGGGTGACTTTTATTTTCTTCCTTTTGATTATTTAATTTTTGTGATTTCCTCAATCTTTTTTTGAAAAAGGTGTATGTGATATTTTCTTTCTTAAGCTAAGGGGTGGATACATGAGTGTTGCTATCCTTTTTTGTATCTGCTAAGTATTTCGTAATACATTTTTAAAAATCCATAAAAGGTATAAGTGCATTGCCTGCTGAAACATGGATGAACCTTGAAAATATGCTGAGTGAAGGGAGCCAGGAACAAAAAGCCACCTATTGAAGGATTCCGTGCAAATCTGTAGAGACAGACAGCAAATTAGTGGTTGCCAGGGACTGGAGGGAGGAGAGAATGGGGAGTAACTGCTAATGGATATGATTTTCTTTTTGGGGAGATGAAAATGTTCTAAAATTGACTGCGATGATGGTTGAACAGCTCTGAATACACTAAAAACTACTACACTATACACCTTTTTTAAAATACATATATTATTGATTATTAGAGAGAGAGAAACACTGACTTGTTCTACTTATTATGCTTTCACTGGTTGATTTTTGTATGTGCCTTGATCGGGGATTGAACCCGCAACCTTGGCGTATCAGGACAGTGCTCTAAGCAACTGAGCTACCCCGCCAGGATTACACTGTATACTTCTAATTATGGTAAGTGAATTCTATCTCAATAAAGCTGTTATTTAAAATTGGTGTAAGGCAGTTTCATGAGAATGACAGGGGACAAGTGTCTTGGGTATCTTCCTGTGGTGGAGCATTCCCTTCCAGGTTTCAACCTTAGCAGGACTCCAGGCATATTCTACCCTTTAGGGTTTGTTTGTTTTTTGACTCTTCAAAGGTGCCCAGGGGGGCTCAGTGGCCCGGACGCTCCTGGAAGATGGGACGTTCAGGGTTCGGGCTGTGACCCGGAACCCCAGGCAGAAGGCAGTGAAGGAACTGAGGCTGCAAGGTGCAGAAATAATGCAGGGAGACCAGGATGATGAGGCCAGCATGGAACTGGCCCTGACCGGGGCTCACGCCGCCTTCATTGTAACCAACTACTGGGAGAACTGCAGCCAGGAGCAGGAGGTCAAGCAGGTGAGGGCAGGCAGGAGGGTGCAGGGAGGCTGGGGCTAGTTGCAGGGCATCCTAAAAGGAGCTCCCAGGTCCCTCTTGGTTCCTTGGAAGCAGCTCTAACTTACCAGTGGGGCCTACTCTGCCCAGGACCACTGACCACTGACCACTGCAGGCTGTTCCCCTCATCTTCCATGCAGCCCTTCTAGATTTTGATGAGGGTAGGAGGAGGCTGCTTTCTCATCTAGTGACTTTTTAAAAAATATTCATGTATCATACAATTCACCTTTTTAAAGTGTGCAATTCGTTGGTTTTTAACATATTCACAAAGTTGTGCAGCCATCACCACTACCTAATTCCAGAACATTTTCATCACCCCAAAATAAACCCTGTGCCTGTTAGCAGTCACTCCCCACTCCCCCTCCCCCC